AACAATTGATCCATTTAGAAGGCTTTGTTATATTAATTAAAATAAAAATGCCTCTTTTAATATAAAAACAATAAATGTCTAGAAAAGAACGATGGCAACATATGTACAAATATGTCTGATACAATTGATGATTGGATTATAATAAAAGTTGTAAGAGCCTCCAATAAAATGATCTTTTAATTTTAAAAAATATATGCTTTTTTGTAGATTACCCTCAAGCCTCTTACAGAACAAGAAGAATTTTTAATATTACAGGTAAACTTGTACATAATTTTAGAAAAGCAAAGTGGAGTCTGCAGATTTTATGCCTGCTCAATTTTTGGCTTATTGTGTGGGAGTTTGGGGTTTTCGGTTTTGCTTATAGTATAACTTTATTGTGCTTATTATGCATTTAAGAACAATTGTGAACTTTTAAATGTAGGTACTATTTGAATTGGAAATAGTATTTTGTAAATAAATTTCAAAGACAAAAGTAAACAAAACTAGACTACAGAAAAGTGGGTGAAGGGAGACGTCGGACAGGGCAAGATATGACAGAATAATAATTTATAAATTATCAAGGGCTCATGAGGGAGGGGCAGCGGGGAGGGAGGGCAAAAATGAGGACCTAATGCCGGGGGCTTAAGTGGAGAGGAAATGTTTTGAGAATGATGAGGGCAATGAATGTACAAATGTGTTTTACACAATTGATGTATGTATGGATTGTGATAAGAGTTGTATGAGCCCCTAATAAAATGATTTTTTTAAAAAGAAAGTAAACAAAACTGTCCACACAAAAGAAAAAAATGGAAAGGAAGAATAAGGAACTCTTAAGAAGAACATTAAAAATACCATTGACAAGGTTAATGCCAGTTGCCACCAAGTCAACCCTCATGTAAGGTGACGCTTTGTGTGTCTGACTGTAACTGTGAGCATAGAGTTTTCCATGCATGATTTTTTCAGAAATGATTCCCAGGCCTTTCTTCCAAGATGCCAGGAGGTGAATTCAACCTCTCAGCAACACAGCACATCAACCACCTGTATCACCCAGGGATGGCATGACAAGTATAAATGTCTTAAATTTCCTAATTCAAAAGGAAGAATCCAGAGAGTAAGATAAACGGCAAAAAGATTTTCCAACCGAACATGTGTAATTCCAAATTAGCTATAGCAATATTAATATTAGACAAATAAGAATTTAACTTGAGAAAAAGCATTAAAAAGGACAAGAGGGATTATTGTAGAATCAGTAATAGTATGCATTAATAAATTAATAGTGTAACAATCTATAAAATTATATATTAATTGCTTTTAAAAAGTAATTTAATACAAAAAACAAAATATCCCCAAAATGCACGTTTGCAATTTAGGAGCTATACTAAGGAAAAAATACCTCCTGTCAGTAGGTTAAGAAAAAAAAATGCTAACTTTAGTAGCTACTTTTAAAAGTCTTTGGAAAATTTAATATCTCTTTCTGATAAAATAGTAAAAATAAGAAAAATTTTTGTTCAATGTAATAATAAATATTTAAATCTATTAGTCAACATTAAAATTAATGTAAACATTGGTAGTAATAAATATATGTGTTTAAAAATAGAAGGGGAGTGGAGATGGAATTTGGTATACTGTAATAGTTTCACTCTAATAATGCTACTTAAATTTATTTTGAAAGCCCTGATCAATGCAGTAACATTTACTAAAGAAAGGAGAGCTATACATAGTAACACAAGATGATACAACATGATCATTATGTCCTTCAAGAATATTTTTGTAGCTTGAAAACCTATTTGCTTCAGTAAAAAGACTAATCGGTTAATAAATTAGTAACATTAGAAGTCACATAAATAATATCAATAATATTTCTAAGTACCAGTAAAAAATTACACTTTAAAAAAGTGTGTTATACAAGAGCAACAAACTACAAATAAAGGTCTGTTATTGATTTTAACCAGAAATAGGTGATCTATTCAGAGCCACAAAAATCCTAAGTTAAAAGGCCTATGTTTCTAGGTAAAAATATAAAATAGTTTACATTGTTCACTAAAAGTATAAATTCAATGCAAATGTAATTAAACATTTTTTTTCACATTGTGAGGTGTTCATAAAGGACACTCCTTGATTTTTTTCTGTCTGGAAGAGAAAAGTCCGTTTTGAGAGCGTGTTAAATATTAAAATATATTGTGAAAAATAATAATTAAAACCATTGATAGTGGCCCGCAAGTAGATTAGGAAGGTAAAACATTTGGCTGAAACCAATAACATAGAAACCAAATCCATTTCTGCTGAGTCAAAGTCCAGCTCATTACACCCAAGAGGACCGAGTAGAACTGCTCTGTGTGGTTTTCAAGGCTCTAGGTCTTTCCAGGCCTCTGCCTCTTTCTCCTGCAGCATGTTGGGTGGCCTTGAACCCGCGCTCTTTTGGTTGGCAGCTCCGTGTGCCACCACTGGTGCCACCAGGGCTCCAAAATTTATTGAAGAGCAGAAATATTTCCTAATGGCAGCGGTATGAATCAATGGGGAAATAATTTTTTTTCAATATTTGGGCTGATTGTGCTTGAAAAGCATTGAAAAGACAGGCCAAATCAAGTCATACAGCTGTCATATACACATATTTCCCAAACTCCAACCATAGAGAGTCTAAAGGGATGTCATTTGATAGGCTTAGGATGTTGTAACTAATTGCAAAGTGAAGGATAAAATAGATTTAATTATATTGAAGAACAATAAATTAAACAGTTACCTGGGTACAATTGTTTGAATATGGTAACCTAAAAGGTTAGTATCATCATTATAAAAAGAGCTCCAACTCATAAAACTCCTACTTAGAACTAATACACAACATAAAATTGAATCACATTCCCAGCTACTAAGATTAATTTAGGTCAACTCAACTCCCAAGGACAAGCAAAAAAGCTGCATAAAATCCAGCAAGCATCCGTTTTAAGGCACCAGGGAGCTCCTGAGGGAGGGGAGAGCGAGCACCACAGCCAACAGCCCAGCGAGGAGGGACTTCCAAAAAGGTCTCACCTTCCCCGCCCGCATGTGGGAAGTTGCCATCACTCATCACTGGCGGAAGATAGGAACAGCCCAAAGATCAGGCTGTTGCTTTAAGTTTTCCTACACAATGTCTGGCATTCAATAAAAACATCCAGGCATACCAGCGGCTTAGATTAAAAAATGACTCCAACAGACCGCCAAAGAAAGATAATGACACAAGAGTAACACATTCAGGAATAATATGTTAAATAAACTAGATGAGAAAATTCAGAAGCTAAGATTTTCAGCAGATGCCTGGAAACTAGGATCAAGAATCAAGTGGAAATGAGAGAACTGAAAAATGAACAGAAATGAAAAACTCCGCTGACCAGTTTAAAATCAAATTAGGTACGGGTGAAGAACAGACTTGTACATTGAAAGTCAAGGAAAAACTAAAGTCAGCACAGGTACACTGAGAAATGGTTTCTTCTTACATAACTTAATGGGGAACAGTGACGTGTTATCTTGTGATCTGCTTTATCATAAAGAACAGAGTTTTCTATGTCAATTGCCTCGTGTCTGAAGATGTCCACGGAAACCTTCGCTGGATGGTTTACTGCTGTGGTGGGAATTCCTAAATGGTGCAAATCATTCAAGCAGTCCGCTGCTAGCCAGAGGTTCGGAGGTTCAGTTACACTCAGAAGCATCTCAGAAGACAAGTCTGATTGATCTACTTCCAAAAACTCCGTCATTGAAAACCCAGTTGGCCCGGCCCTCAACTCCACAGCCTGCACTTTGTACTCCAGACTACTGGAAGGAACCTAAATAGTAAGTACCTGACACTTGCCAAATAAGTACAGTCTATCCAAAGTGTCTACTATTATACAGCCGTATTAAAAATAGCACCACCAATACGTTTAGTAACATGGGAACCACTTTTGATACAATGTAAAGAGAACAAAAACTCTAGGAATGATAATGGATCTAAACATATTTTTAAATGATTGAAAGCAAATAGGCCCACAGCCTACGATCAGTTATATTAGGTTCAATAGCACGATGGGTGCTTTTCTTACACGGATCGTTTTCTCAAACTTTTAGTCGTGCATGTTTCTCATATTGAAAATAGGTATCATTTATATATTTAAAGGCAGAAAGCTCATCGGCTCTGGCACAAGAATGCCTGCACCACCACTTTTTGTTGTTCTTGCACTTTTAGAACCTTGATTAGATCATCAGCCACTAGTTTCATCTGCATTGACTGTAGGTTTTGAAAGTGGTGACAGGCACGGAGGTACTCAATGTAGAGAGCTTGTTCGGTGAATCTCCATCCGCATTATGTTTCCTGGATAACAGTACACAGATATCACCGCGTGGGTCGTTCCGGATTCCTTTGGCCCAAACAACGTTGTTGAACCTGGTTGACCCATCTCCTTCATGGCAAACATCCGAGGCTCCTTGAGTGCCGCTTTTCTTTGTGGGTGCCATAGTGCCAGGACCAGGCTAGAAAGGACTCACCAATTATTCGTTATTGTATAGTAAGCAAACAGTTGAATTTCCGGTCCTAAGCTTATCCAGTAAAATAAGGATAATGATAGTATCGACCGCATAGGATGAGTGTGAGGAATACTTATTCTTCTAAGTGTGTGATAGTTGGATGACGAAGCTAAATGATCATTTGCTCCAGCCAGTCCTTGTTCACTCCCGTGAGTAATAAGTTTTGTTTGTGTAGGTGAATCTTAATTTGTCCCTACTATGAATTCCCTAAGACAGGTTTTTCTAGGCACCAACCTGCCATTGGTTGAGAAGGTACTTCTGAACTCTCTAAGAAGCACTGACAGCAATCGAATACCTGATGTGTTTGTTCTTTCTGAGAATCCCCGGCTCCCTGCTGGTGTCCCATCTCCAGTGGAGGGCACGTAAGTGACTGGGACTGCCGTTCAATGCCACTGAAACCATGATTGCATTAATGTCACCAGTAGCAAATCACAGGAAATCTTTATATTTTTTCTAATTTTCACACTTCCCTAGATGCGTGACGTTTTATCATCTCCCACATCTGACAGATAAGTAACAATGGAAAGTCATCTAAGAAATAAGACATTTGTTAGGGAGTGATTTTTCTGATTTCCATACGACAGGGGCCTGATGGTGTGATTTAAAACTTTGTCCACCTGGTATATCCAAGAATTTTGGACACTTTGGTAGAATTTCTTCTTTACTTGACATAGCTCTATTGAAATTGGGAGGGGGTAAAAAGGGAAATACTCTGTTAATATGCTAAGATTGATTGTTAGCTGTCGTGGTATCTAATGAAATGATAAGACTTTGCCTTGACTCCTAGCAATTAGACTGTCAGTACTCTTCACATAAGATATTGCAGGAGCTGAAAGAGGACTGTGTCCAATGATCTTTCATGCAGCACTAAGAATAATCCACTTCTCTGAGACTGCTTGGTTTTTAGGGTTTCTGTTCTTACAGGATTTCTGCTGCAGAGCCCAGGAGTGAATCCTCCTAGGATTCACTCTGCCATTTCATTAATGCTAGATGTCTCATAACTGCCTCTGTCAAGTTTATCTGACATTCATTGGCCTCTGTTAAGTCCATGTGGCATTCATTGGGAATGTCCTTTGGTTAAACTTTCTAACAGTTCTCAGCTTTACAGTGTGGTGAATGTCTAGCAAATTGATTTAGTGTCTTAGTTTTCCATTTTGGTTGAACTGGTATTCCTTTTGGAGTTTGGAGTTATACATGAAGGAATTTCTGGGCTTAACCCTCTCTCCTCCTTTTGTTACAGGATTTACCCCAAATCTTCCACACTCTTCTAATAGGTATGCTTCATAATGACATAATACCACTTACTAAGATAGATTTACTGGCTAAGCTCAGATTGCCAATTCACAACCAGTGATGCTTTGTCAGGTGAAGAACCAGAAAAGAGTAGGGAAATAGTGAACATTCCTTATCTTTTTTGGAAAAATGGACCAAGGGATTCAACTGTCAATGATGAGTCACTAACATGTGAGGGACAATTGTAATAAAAGATAAGCTCAAGATTTTTATTATGCTGTGTACTAATTTCTTACATGAATAAATGCTAAGCAATTTCTTAGTTTCATAGTATAATTGGAGGTGGTTTAATGGATTGATATTTCCACATGTGTTCCAATAGGCATGAGTTTGAGCCCCACTCTTACCTTCAATGCATGAACTTAAACAAGTATCTAAACAGCTCTGGACTTCATTTCGCTTGAAAATGAGGGCAATGTGTCTATTTGACTGGGGGCAAAATGTCTTAACATATGTAAAATCCTTGCCTTATAGCCAGTATTCAAGAAATGCTGGTCCTTTTCAGCTCTATTTATAGAGATAGATAAAAAGAGATTACACACTACTGTGCTTTCATCTTTAAATATATCCTTTATCGATTATCTTCTGAATAAAACTGTTGACTCAGAAAATAGAAATTTTCACATGTCAATCCTTCATTCTTTTGCTCGTTGCTCAACCTTTTTAAAAACAATCTTCTATGAGCTAAGAACTAGATGCTGAAGGCTAAAAAGAGTCAGATAGTAATCCTGTTCTCACGGAGTCTGGAAGGGGAGATTATACCCCCCCCCCAAAACATAATCCATCGACAAAATAAAGTGTTGGTTCATAAACAGAAGAACTGAACTGGGCTTACTAGGAATCACTGAATGAAGGAAGCAGTGTTTGGTTGGGTCCTAAGAAAGGTACAGTTTGGAGAGGAAGGTCATTTTGAAGGAAGAGGACACAAGGAGCAAGCATGAAGTACTAAGTATGCAGGACTGCAAGAAAAGGGCCCAAAGACCGAGCTGTCTAGGTTGGTGTTACCTTGAATGAGGTACTTCCGCCCTCTGGGCTGTGGTTACGTCACCTGTGAAATGTGTGACGTAATCTCTCACTGTTGCTCTTTCAGGGCCCTGAAGAATGTCAGATGACAGTTGGATGTAGAAGCGCTTTGGAAGCTGTGAATGAAAAGGGTCTGTTTCTTTCTCTCCACCCTTCAATCTTAAACTCTGGGGGGCACCTCACAGCCCACGTCCTATTGCTCCCTAACAGGTGTGGGGGGAACCAAGGAGCCTCTGTTGGAGTGAATGAGTCCGTGTGAGAGTGACCAAATGAGTGACGCAAAATGAAGCACAGTATGAACAGCGAGCAGAGCTTTGGAAGCATGAAATAGACCTGGGTTAGGAAGGGACACCAGTGTGAAATGTCCACTAGGTCAGCGGTTATCAAAGTGTTGCCTGTGGACAGACAGCCTCGGTTATTAGGGCTTGAAATCAGTTAAATTGTCCATTCTGATTCATCGTATCTGGAGTGGAAATGCAAATTCTCGGCAGAAGGTAGAACCGGAAAGAACCAGTTCAAAGCCCTGGATGAAGCCAGCAGTTTAGCAGGGACAATGTAGACATAATTAATCTAATCGTGTTTTATTCTCCGCCAGCTTCAATAGCCTTCTTTCCGTCTAAACATTCAAGCCAGTAGTTCTTATTGAAACAAGTGTGCATCAGAACCATTTGGGGAACTTGTTGAAACACAGGCGAGTGGGCCCCGGGAGTGTCTGCATCAGGAAGTCTGGGTCCCCTGGTGTTGCTGAATAATGTCGGTCCAGGAAATGCACTTGGAGACCCTCAGGTTCAAACTATTGCGAGTGTAATTCCCATGTAAAATCTTTCCGAGGAATGCTTCTTGGACCGTGTCCCCTCATTTCAGCAGTGTACCCTGTGATCAAGAACTGACAGGACTGAAAGCTGACGTCCAAGCTGCACCGAAGGCATTGCCCCACGCAAGGTGCAGGGAGTGACACAGTGTCATCGTCTGAGATGTTGCACCAACGGGAGCAGCTCTGAAAGAGCTCACTGGGCTACGCCACAACCTTTGGAAGACACCTCTCTGCCCCAGAACAGATCTCTACCTATGCCCATGTGAAGGTAATCCAGCATAACGCATACATTATTGAGCACTATCATTAATATCACACACAAGTTACCTTATGCCCAAGATACTGCAAACAGGTTTGCAGCAGTATATTGACTGGAAATTGCCAGAAAGCCTAACAGTATTCTAAAAGAGAAACATGGACCAAGGCATATGTTTGCTGATATCAGATGAATCTTAACTGACAAAAGAGAATACAAGAAAGCTGTTTACCTATGTTTCGTGAACTGCACAAAAGGATTTGACCGTATGGAGTATAACAGATCGTGGGTAACATTGTAAAGGATGGGAATTCCCGAACACTGAATTGTACACATGCAGAACCTTTACATAGACCAAAAGGAAGTTGTTTGAACAAAGCAAAAGGGTACAGCGTGGTTTAAAATCAGGAGGTTTGTGCATCAGGGTTGTATCCTTTCGCCATACTTATTCAGTCTAAATCCTGAGCATATAGTTGAAGAAACTGGACTATATAAAGAAGACCATGACATCAGGACTGGGCGGAGACTGCCGTAACAACCTATGATATGTAGCTGACACAGCCCTGGTCACCGAAAGTGAAGATGACTATAAGTGCTTACTGATAAAGTTCACACACCAGAGCCTTCCTATGGCATAGACCTCAACACAAAGAAACAAAATTCCTCATCATTGGACCAATAAGCAACATCGTGTTAAATAAAAGAAAGATCAAAATTGCCAAGGATTTTACGTGGATACATAGCCATTAGAAATTAAACAATGCATGATGGGGCAGATCTGCTGCAAAAAAATTCTGTAAAGGGTCACCTCGAAGATTAAGGAGCACATGATCCAAGCCATAGAATTTTTGATCCACGGTAGAAATAGGACCAAAAAAAATCCAAGCCATCGTATTTTTGATCCACAGTGGCAATAGGTGGAAATGGAAACTATAATGTTCCTTCGAAAAAGGGCTTTGTTGTTGTTAAGGACCATCAAGTTGGCTGCAAACCACCGCACCCCTATGCACAGTCGAAGGAAATACTGGCCAGGCTGGCACTACTCTCACGCTTGTGCCTGTGCGGGAGCCCATGTTTCCAGCCACCGTGTCAGTTGAGCTGAAGGGTCATCCTCTTTTTTTGCTGCCCCTCCACTTTATCAAACATGATGCCCTTCTCCAGGGACTGGCCTCTCTTGACAACCCATCCAGAGTATGTAAGACAAAATTTGGCCATCCTTGCCTGTAAGGTGCACTCTGGCCCTGTTTCTTCCAAGACAGATTTGTTTGTACTTTGGCAGTCTGTGGTACCTTTGATCATCTTCCACAGCACCACAGTTCCAACACAGGGATCCTTCTTCAGTCTTCCTTATTCAGTTTCCAACGTTCACATGCATAGGAGATGATAGAAAATCTTTTGCTTAATAAAACTTGGATTTCAACCCTTTCGTATTTTTGTATAAATTTTTCTAAGACCCCTACTTTGTATATTGGTGGCTGAACATTAACTTTTTCTCTCTTCCTTTACAGTCCTGCTATAAGAATCCTAATTTCTCTACCTGAAGGTGGATATCACCAGTCAATGAAAGAGAAGAATATGTACATGGAACATAGAGAAATATAATCTTAAACTACTGCTTCTATGCTTTTCTGAACCTGGGTCAAGGCTTGATAGCCACATCTCTTTCTTTTTCCCCCCAATACAATGATTTCTTTACTAAAGTAATTCAATATTATTTATTTATCTATATCTGATTTTTTTCTTTCTCCCCAAAATACAATGATTTCTTTATTAAAGTAATCCAATATTATTTATTTATCTATCTCTGATTTAAGTGATTTTTTTTTTCTTAACCAATTACGTCTTTTAAACTTTTGAGAGAAATTAGATCATATACCAGTTTCAACTCATAGTGACTCTATAGGACAGCGGAGCAGTGCCCCATAGGGTATCCAAGACTGTAAGGAATCTTTATGGTATGGCACTGGGAGAAATCAGTCCATACCACCACAGAGGTGCCTTGGAAGACAGACCTGGTGATCTGCGCCCCAAAGGTCACAGCCCTGAAAACCGGGGGGAGCAACTGTATTCTGCATCCCCGGGGACCTCAGGAATCAGAACCCCCTGGCTGACAGCTCCTAGTGGCAGCAGCAGAGGCCCTTCATAGCAATGCTTCTCCAACGGCATTTTAGGGTTGCACCCCCAGGGCTCTTGTGAAAATACAGCTGCTTCTCCATTCGTTTGGGGCCAGTTGCTGTGGGTTGTGCAAGTGGTTAAGCACTCAAGTAAGAGACCAGAGATCCACTTTTCGGACTCACCCAGAGGTGAGAAGGCAGGCAGGCTGATGGTCTGCTTCTGATAGATCTCAGCCTGGAATCCCAATGGAGGAATTCTATGTTGTACACAAGGAGGCAGAGGTGACTCGGTATTAAAGAACAATCACAGGCTTCAGGTAAGGCCCAGGTATTCTGAATTTCTAACAAGTTTCCGGTGAGGCCAAGCTGATGGTCTTGGCATAATAGGAATTTGGGGTCTTTCTTAGGCTCCTCTTATCCTCCTCTGTACAGGCAACCTAAGGTAAGTGTCTTCTGGTCTGAGACTTACAAGACAGGAAATGTCTGATGCCTCTGTAAGATCAGAAATAAAAGCAGCCAGTTGAACAGCTTCATCAACCTGCGACGTGATTACACACATTGAGATGGAACGAAGGATGGACCGCTCAGACGCTCCCTGGTTATACTGAAGTTTAATCTTAAGCCTCAAATAAAAGTCATTGTATCTCGTCATAACCTTACACTGGAGAGGAAACATTCAGCATATTCCATTAAGCAGGATTTAAAGCTCTCAGCATTACTGAATTGTACAGTGATAATTTACATGAATCTGTTCCCTTCTTCAAAAGTAGCAATTTGTTAAGACTTCCTGGAAAATAATCCACCAATTTTTTCACTACGTGTCGTTACTCTGCGTAAAGCTCTTTTTAAAATGTCAGACTTTCCATGGGCTGAGTTGACAGTGTGCCCCCAACAGTGCAGTTCTGACATGGCAGCAATTGGGAGGCTGGCACCGATCCAGGCAGTGCTCCGTTCCCAGGTCCATTGGAGCATGTTGCTATGAGTTGGTACCATCTCTGGCCCCTGATGTATAAATAAATAGGAAGGATGTAAGATAGAAAGGCAGATAAATCACTTGCATCATATGGAGAATCCATGCTGGTCAACAAAACACCATGCATCTAAGAACGTCAAACATCGTAAGAAGAGACAAGTGCTGTGTGTGGACTTGTGTCTTTTTACCCCACGTTGTTGAAAGCATCCAAGAAGTAGCATATATTTACAGAGCCACTCTGCAGCACGTAAACTCTGGTGCGTGCGTGTATTTTAGAAATGTGAGTCTTCTCAGTGGTCTGGTAAGCCCTGGTAATCTTATACATGCTTTATAAATACTGATGTATCAGACCTGTGTAGACCTGACTCTGCTAATCAATTATTTTACTCAGTATTTCTTTGTTTTAAAAGCAGCATTGGTTGTCTTATCGATACCTGTTATCCAGTATACAATAAAGATAGAGTCTTACAAATAATCAAGCAGGACCTCATATCGAGAGCCTGCATCCACGTCATAGCTATTGCCTGTGTACCACTAGCTATTCCTTGCATTCTGGCCACTGTCAACGAGACTGCTTATGCATCTTTGGCTTTCTCGATGTGTCTTCAGGGACAAATAAAGCATGCACACACAGATACACCCGTCATCAAGTCGATTTGAACTCATCGCAACACTCTAAGATAGGTAGAATGGCGCATGGGGGTTCAAAGCTGCAAATCTTCATGGAAGCCAACTACCTCCTCAGTCTTCTCCAGAGCAGCTGGTGGATTCAATCCACTGACCTCTTGGTTAGCAACTTAGTATTTAATCACTGTTCCCCCAGGGCTCCGTTCTTTTTTTTCTCGATGCCCATTCCATCTCCCCTGAAGAATGCAGTAGGAACTTAGGAGAGAGACTTGTAGAGACTGAGTCACCCATGGTGGATGCAGAATGAAGTAGCGGGAATGTAGGTTCATTTCACCCTCTGCCTTTCTTATCTTTGAAGAGGATTTTTTCTCGTAGCCTAATCAATTGTTTGAAAGTATCATTGCCCTTTGTTTTTCAGATTTCAACCTAAAGACGTGTCGGTGCCTATGCCAGCTATTTGTTTCTGCGAGTACTTGTGTTCATTTTTCTCTTGAAATAAATGTTCATATTGGAAAATTATTAAATCACCATCTTAATGTTTTACGTAAGTTAGACGTGGGCACATTAGCAAGAAAGACTTGTGTCTCAAAAAGGGAAGAACAGTTCAAGAAACCAAATTTGAAGGCCCGGTAGAGCTGTCGTATTGATGTGTGGGTACTTCCCTTTTTTCTTGGCCCCACTAATCTCTTTTTAATTTCAATTGTATTTCTTTATCCTGTGATATTCTGGCATCTGAAATTTACAGGTGAAGTCTCAAATTTCTTGTGCAAACCTGAGTGTACAAGTAAATGCCAATAAATAAAGAATGAACACATTTCAACTGGCAAGCATCCTTATTTATTTCAAGTAAGGTCATCCTTGAATGAAGATCCCTTGTGGTGTAGTGGTGAGATGCTCAGCTACAAGGTCAGCGGTTTAAACCTGTGTAGCAGTCTGCTCCTTGAAAGATCACAACCTTGGAAACCCTGTGCAGGCGGCTCTACTCTGTCCTTCAGGGCCCCATGAGTTGGAAGCAACTCCACGGTCCGTATCATCCATCAACGACTATCCCTTGATTATTGATTTGTGCGCACATGCATGTTATGTTGGCTGCGACTCACTTGTCTAAAACAACTGACAAGTCTCAAAACTGTAAAACGTTATCTTTCCTACCAATACACTCATACTCCTAAAGATTACAGGAAAAATTACTTTCAAAATCCATTGTTCTTGAAATGAGGTTTAGAAATAAGAGCCTAATTTTAAAATTGTACCACCGTTCTTAGCCACAGCCGCCATGTTTCCTTGGACTTCATTCCCTCACGTGACCTTATCCTTTCTTTGCAACCCACACTAAATAACACTTGATCCTTTGCATAAATCTATATCAGGATAAACATTATTTAGAAATTAAAGCATCAAGGGAAGGGGTGCACTCTAATAGAAAAAAAAAGTTGTATTCCATTATCTCTCGAGAGACTCTTCAGAGATTAGCACAGCCAAACCCACTGCATACACACTCTGCCCCCAGGGTTTCTCAGGGAGGCACATACTCCCTGCTGTGCAGGCCATTCCTGCTCCCAGCCGCCACATAGGACAGGGTCAAACTGTCCAGGTCAGTTTCCAAGACTGTCGCTCTTCAGTTGCTTTAAAATGTGAACTGATAATATTTTTAAGTGTTGTTCTTCAGACGGTAATTTGGCTCAAGCTTTCTAGTGTGCAATCGGCCAGTGGTCGTGAAAACAGACAAGAATTCCAAACCTTAAACGGGCAGCGATGCACCGACATTCACTTCTGGAAATTTATTCCAAGGAAGTCCTTATTGATGGGTTCACCCAGAGGCATACGAAAATTTGTAGCAGCATGGCCTATCTTGAAAGAAAATTAGAACCACTCAAATGTCCACGCCAAGAGATTCATCTGAAACCTACGGCACATCCATTCTATAAAATTTCACCCACCGTCAACTCTATGTAGAATAACTGTTACGTGAGAACATGTTCATGAAACCTGAAATGGAAAAAGTCAGCTGTAACATTGGTATGAACCCGCGCATGCTTTCCCTCTGTTGACCCACACCAGGGTTCCAGGCTTGTGCCTTCACACTGCTGGGCATTTGCATTTACTTCCCCAGAGAGACAAGCAAAATCTACATTTCAACAAGATCCCCAGGTAGTTCAAACCTGAAGGGATCTGTTTAAAGTCGTCGTCTGTACACTTGGCATGTCCTCAGTGGCACAAAGGGGTAAGTGCTTGACCACTTGCTGGAAGGTGGCAGCTTCACCCTGGCCAGAGGCCTCCTCCAGAGGCAGGTCCAAAAGCTCCTGGTCTCGAAATCACCTGGAGTCATTCTCTACACACGGGACCACCAAGATCAAGGCCAACTCCGTGGCAAATATTAACTATCCATGGGCTTCAAAAGTTCATGGGCAAATTAAATTTAAAGGTAATGTCTTTCCAGAACTGGCACATGGAGTTTGGACTTTTCGCTCCCTAAACTGTGAGAGAATAGATTTCTCTCTCTTTTTTTTAAATAGTTAAATGGCTTTATTGAGCTGTAACTCATATACTATACAATTTACTCATTTAGTGTGTTCAATTCAATGCTTTTTAGTGTATTCAGAGATATGTGTGAATACATTACAGTTTAGAATGTATCATCACAATACATTTTGTTGTTGTTGTTGTTAGGTGCCATTAATTCTATTCTGAATCATAACGACCCTATGCACAATATGGGCTGCACCATCCTCAATTGTTGCTATGCCTGAGCCCACAGTGAGAAGGAGAAAGATAATGAAACCTTTTCACTGACCGTTTGAAGTCCCCCCCTATGTAGATAGAGATGGACATCTCCATGCCAAACCAAGCCTCCTGCACTGGAGTTGATTTCCAATTGATAGTGACCCCACAGGACAGA